GAGAGAGCAGAACGTTAGAGATTGAACTAACAGATTCTGCAGAGTGGGAGAATAGAGATAGAATGAAGCGGAATGATGAAAAAGGGGTCCCTATGTCCTCCAGCAGTCTAAGCCTATAGCAGCAGAACTATAGAGATAGCTCAGGATAGTTTCATTTATGCCTCCCAAATAAAACATCCCATAACCATATCCTTTTGGTTTAGATTTTCTATACATGTAGATTCCCCTTATTAATCGAGATAAATGATCAAAGGGTTGCATCTTGCACATTTAACTGCATTATGAACAGTTTTGAAAAGGTATAACCCAGTTCTTCAATGTATTTTGATGCAATTTGAGTTCTACTGCACAAGAGATAAGGTCCACTTGTCAAACCGGTCAACCTCTCACTTGTGCACTTTAAAAAAGAATTTTGGGAAAAAAATAAATAAATTAAAAAAAGGACCTGGTGATTTTCTGCAAGCACCTTTTCTGTTGGTTTACAAATTTGTCTGTTAAAACAGAATTCCATAAAAAAGACATCAATTTTATTACATTAGTTGTACATATAGTGTCCCTGGGTGTTTTGAAAGCCCTCTGAATAAAATATATCATCGTTATTATTAAGGTTTTTACAAATGATATAAACTCCCCGAGTATAAAGATTGTTCTGATTTTTGCATCACAGCTTCTTTCTCTATTTCCTGATTTTTATCTAACTCTAAATTGTGCAGCAAATGTCATGCTGCTGGGTGATGCGTTTATAGACAGAAAATAATGGGAATAAAGGGAAATTGTTCAGTGTTTGAGTTGCTGATCGTCACCCAGGGTCAATTATGGTAAATCTTACAGATCACTACTTTTAAATTTCTCTAAGGATGATTTCTTACGATGAAGATGTTTGTTGTATTTGTGTCTCAAAAATTCATATTTGCAAACAGGCTCAGTGTCCCGCTGTGCGATTTAATTTAAGCTGCACCATGAAAGAGAAGAGCAAAGAAAGATCTGTAGAAAATGAGTTATTTGTTCGATCTTAAATGTTTTTTACATAATTATGATGACTGCCATCCAAATTAAATGACTTCTCATCAAAATGTCTCCTCTCCTTTATAAGCATCCCCAAGTCTTTCAATCTGTGCACAGCTTAATGCTTCCGAACATATAATTATCCCATCATTTCCTGCCATCCTGATTGGGTCTGACAAAGCCCTCCTTGGCTTCCTCAAAGCAGCACGACTATATTTCAGTTTGAAGGTTTTGTTTTCAACCAAATCCCCAAACTGCAGGATAACGATGTCCAGGTGGAAAAATAAAACAGTTCTAAGGTCTTTAAATTTGATCTAAGCTACAGAGCACACATTGGAGATTCACAGCACTCATGTTTTACTCCTTCTTTGTCTCTCCAGGATCTCAGTGTGTGATGAGGACAAGTTTCGCCACAATGAGTTTATTGGGGAAACGCGGATTCCCCTCAAGAAGCTGAAGCCCAACCAAGTCAAAAACTTCAACAACTGCCTGGAAAAACAATTACCAGTAAGTCTATAAAGTAATAGCCATTTAAAATTTCCCCACTTTCCTTGATGGGTCCTTGGCTGGTCCTTGGCTGATCCTTGGCTGGTTCTTGGCTGGTTCTTGGCTGGTT